GCTTTTCCGCTAAACGTAGGAAAGAATTTACGATTTTACTCATTTATTCTTGATGCCATACAAGTGGATGAGTAAGAACATACTAATGCTCTGACAAACGAGAATGATAATGTGAAATAATCTGGCTCGTAGCTCTAATAGGGAAGTATTTTGATCCTTTGCATGAGCTTACCAAACAGTGAGTGGAGGCGAAGCATTTTGGTCCTCAATAAGCGACGCTAAGTTACCTGCTGTCTGCTGTTTGTGCTTTCCATTCATTCTATCATTTAAAACCCCTACATACACATTAACGAAGTTATGCATTTCTGCACACATACACTCACACAATCACACTTATACACGTACACACGCAAAGGCGCACAGCGCGGACTGTGGTCACTGATAAGTTTCAGTGGCATGCAAGCAAGTATAGAACATGCTTTCTATGGATGCTTAAATTATCATGCACTTTATATAATATTCATAGCGCTTTCATATATGCTCGAAAAAGAAGGGTGATATATGAGCAATTAGTGTATAGTGGTGTGTTCACTCTATTTCGATTAAGATGATGAAAGTCTGCTTACAAACTAAAAATGAGCAATTAGTGTTTTATTCCATTTTTATCGGACGTCTATTGTTCACGTCTGTCCACAGCCTAAATTTACACATTAATGCCAACTTTTACTTAATTCTCCATCCTTTCATGGCGAAATGCAAGTATTGTTGGCCCACTCTTCTCACTTCTAATTACCTCAAGCCTACGCCTGCATATGGTCTCCAGGTGCAAATAATAATTATCCCTAATGAAATTGATGAAAATGTTTGATCTTGCCTGGCGACGACACTGCGACTTGTCTCTATTTAGCCCTTTCACGTGAAAAGTTAAGTGTCGTTTCTGCCCGACACCAGTCTCATTAGTACCCCTCTTGTAGTATGCCCTCAATTCAGTACGAGTCCTAATATTCACTTAGACACGAGTCGATGTAGTTGGCAAAAATCAATTCATAGGGCGCAAAAATTGGTTTCCACAGCGCTTGATGTTATCGATGTTATTCATTTTGGTTTAAGTATGCATATAAAATGTTAGTCTAATTTTGCAGTTTGAAACCAAGCACGCACACATTTCATACA